CATCTGGAAAAAAAAGTTAACAGTACCCATTTCAAAAGGTTGTTAAGAGCACTTGCTATGGTACCTAGCATAAAATAAGTGCTGAAAACCATTGGCTGTTATCATTGTTATTTTTATTAGTAGTATTAGTCATGTGAGAGATCTTATGAGACATAGCAAAGCATTTTTATATTAATTTAGAAGCAATGGAAAACCAAGAAACAGATTTGAATAGGGAATAACATGATAAACAATTTAGAACAATCATTCAAACAGCCCCATAAAGAATAAATCTGAGAGGGGTAAGATTGAAGGCTGGAGGTCAGCTAACAGGCTGTTGCAATAATCCAGACAACAGCTGAGGTGCCTAGGACAGTGGCAATGAAGATAAAAGGACACATATGAATGATAATGAGAGGTAGAATTCAAATGTTTTGGAACTTGATTTGCTTTCGGAGTGAGATAGAGAATGAGTCAAACTTTATACGAGGTTTAGAGAATGAGGAAATGATATGCATTTTCACAGACTGAAACCTTAGCAGATGGAGAAGGACTGGCTGGAAAAAGAATTTGTGAATGTGAAATATCATCGACATCATCGACATTTAAGGGACCTCCGACTGAATATACAGATCTGAAATGCAGGAAAATGAATAATTAAACACAGGGCTAGAGAATACTTTGTGTCCCTAGCAAATGAAGGATACTGGAAGCCATCAGCATTTTTTTTAAAGACGTCCAATTACCTATGTCCAAAAATCTAAATATCATCAATAGAATCTTGAATCCTGCAAAAGAAACTTAGAAGCAGCAGCCAAAAATGAAAAAGGATAAAAGAAAAACAAGATGTTACAGAATCTACTGGATGAGACTCCTTCTAGAAAAAATAGTATCAGACAAGAGAGTCAAGTGGTGCAATAAATAAGGTAAGACTGATAAATGTCTTGTGGATTTCCCATAGGAAAGTCACCGAGGAACTTCACCGAGAGCAGTTCCTACGGAAGGTTGCGGCAGAAGTCAAAATGCAGTGGACTGAGGAATGAGAAGATAAATTATTTTAAAGAAGTTTGGCTACAGGGTAACCTTGGGTTTAGAACTGTTTCTTTGTTTTTCTTTTAATGGAAGGAACATGTATCTGTTCATGGGGCAGGGGGAAGGGGGGAAGAGAACCAGAGCTCAGGAGAGGAAATAGTCTCAATGAGAAGATGGCTACAGATGCAAGATTCTTTAAAGGTTGGGGCTTGGAAGATAGGAATGTTCCCATATTGGAGTATATAATTATACTCTGAAGTTAGAGATAAGACCATATTTAAGAGTGGAGGTAAAGATGGTGGGGTTAGACCAGTGGTTCTCAACCGGAGGATGATTTTGTCCCCGCTCCAGGCAACATTTAGCAATGTCTGGAGACATTTTGTTTGCTACAACTAGGGGGTATAATACTGTCATCTAGTGGGTAGAAGACTGGGATGCTGCTAAACAGGGTCCAAGGCACAGGACAGTCCCTCACAATATCTAGTCCAAAATGCCAACAGTGCCAAGGTTAAGAAACCTGGGTTAGACATTTAAGGAGAGAGGAAAAGGTTTAAAATATCCACTGAGGAGAATGGGGAGCTCACAGTGGAATCACGGTATGCTTGCTTTACAACATTCAGGGCCCAGTGAAGAACGAAGACCAGTATTTTTAAAGTACAGTGATCTACACTGTGGTATACTTTTCTCCAGCAGTGTTAAGACTGAATACAGGCTCAGAGAAGTGGAAAGTTAGACTAATAACATGAACGAGGTTTTACTAACTGGGTTTAATAGAAGGACAAGGGCATTAAAGATGCTGGTAAAAGATCCATGATCCACTCAAGTGATGGATCATGGTATCGAAGTAAAGGGTGAAACAAAAGGGAGCTGAAAGAGAGAAGACAGTGGGATTAGAGTTTCCTATAAAATTTAAGTATGTGCAGTTAGAGTAATTTAGTGTAAGATAAGGAAAGGTAAAATATTGTGGTCAGAAGTTAAGAAATAGCCTTAGTATTTATTTTCCAGCACAGTTAAGATAATGGCTATATCCAGACTGGGCCCAACAGGTAGGTAGATGAAGTGCACTGAAAACAACGGACACTGGAAATGAGAAGGACAGGACCTGAGAAGCGAAGGCCCTGGAAAAAAAAAAAAATCACACAGCGCCAGTTACACACCATTCTGTGTATCCCTAAATTCCATACCATTATTTAAACAATGATTTGAAAACATACATGGACCCAATGTATCATTGCAGCACTACATACAACAGCCAGGACACGAAAGCAACCTAAATGTCCATCAACAGATGAATGGATTAAAAAGATGTCGTATACACATACATAATGGAATACTACTCAGCCATAAAAAAGAATGAAATAATGTCATTTGCAGCGACGTGGATGGACCTCAAGATTGTCATACTGAGTGAAGTACATCAGACAGAGAAAGACAAATATCATATGATATCGCTTATATGTGGAATCTTTAAAAATGGTACAAATGAACTTATTTACAAAACAGAAATAGAGTCACAGATGCAGAAAACGAACTTATAGTTACCAAGGAGGAAAGCGGGGGGGATAAATTGGGAGATTCGGACTGACATATACACACGACTATATATAAAATGGATAACTAATAAGGACCTATTGTATAGCACAGGGAACTCTACTCAGTACTCTGTAATGGCCTATATGGGAAAAGAATCTAAAAAAGAGTGGATATATGTATATGTATAACTGATTCGCTTTGCTGTACAGCAGAAAGTAACACAACATTGTAAATCAACTATACTCTAATAAAAATTAGAAAAAAACACACAAAACAATGAATAAACAAATTTCTCTCTTAAAACAGAGTTGCGAGACCAGAAGGGGGAGCCCTCACACCCTGCGACTACAGCTGAGCCCAACAAGAAGAAACAGTCCTCTTCTCTCCTGGCAAGGACTCAGCAAATAGAAACCACAGGCTATTTACTCTAGCCCTCCCAACTTCCTTGCTCCTTCTATAAAAGTGTCCTTCCCTTGCTATGGGGGGACTTGTATGTGGCTTGTCATGGTTGCAGACCCCAAATTTCAATTGTCTGTTTATCCTGAAGAAACCTATCTTTGCTGAAGAAATATCTGGCAGTCTATTTGTTTTAGATCAATAATTACCAAACATATACAGGAAAAGTAGCAACAAAAAGAGACTATCATAATAATTGTAACAAAAAGGACTCTTTGTAGAATCTAACACTGGGAAGACCAAGGCATGAGTGACACAGGATGCATCAGCTGGATGCTCAACAAGAGTGTAGAACCCAGCTCTCTAAACCTAGGGTTGATAGCCCAAGTCCCAGTAACACTCTTTCAGGATTCCATCTTATTGGCTTCTGCACTGAATGGATAAAGCATGAATGAAATTATCCAAGAGTAGAAGACTATTTTTCAGGCAAAACGTTGCCTCACGAGGTCAGACAATGGGAAGTTATGTACACTTAAATATCCTGCAGGGTGCAGCAGAGAAATTAGGGCACAGAACTTAGGAACAGATTCTTAACAGGTGAATTTGAGATAGAAAGCAAAGAACAATGTGCTAAAACTTCCAGCAACAGAGGAGGAATACTCAGAAAGTCTACGAATAAAGGCAACTTGGAAAAGAAGATTGAAGTATAACCTTTACACCCAAGAGACAGCTGAGGCGGCTGCCATTTCTTTCCAGTTTTAGATTGTTGCTCCAAATGCTACTGGTAGGATTTAGCACTGACTGCCATCAAAACGACCACGGGGAGCTTGTTAAAAACTGAAATTCCAGAACTTATCCCAGATGATTCACTAAATATTTACACATTCCAGGAATCTATGTATTTAACAGTTCATGTATTTAATACAGGACTGAAATTTGGGAGCTCGTAGTATCTACTACTTAATACTATCACACCTTCATCTCAACTGACGAGTTGAGATGTTAATAGACGCCATTGTTAAGTCTCTTATGGTTCATATTCGTTGAAAACTTACGGTATGGCAGATGCTTTTCTAAGCACATTAAAATACATTTTTAAAGTTCAGTTGTCCCAACAACTTTACAGTGCAGATGTTATTAACATTTTCAATTTAAGATAAGGAAATGAGGCAATAAAACAGACATCTGAGTACTGGCAATCTGATACCAGAGCCTGTTCTCTTTACTGACTGTGCTATCATGATAGAACTAGCTTACTAAAATAAACTTTTTCCTTTTGCTTTCAACTAGAATTACGTATGTTGTTAAAAAGCCATGACATGTTGATCATAAACCCAGGCAGTTACACATTTTAACGAAAACAAGGAAACTGATGAAAACAATAAAATCACCTTGGCAAGCAAAACATTTCGAAGCACAAAACTGTCACAAAAATAATGGATGTCCTCAGGGGTAAAAGTAGTAAATAATTCCTATACACCGCTTCACATTCACGGCTACTTCTTGCATTTCCTTCACCCTAATATTAAATATGAGGTTAACCTGGACCTTGATCAGTTCCAAAAGGGGGGGGGGGCAAGAAACATCCATTCACTTCTTCAATGTCATAATTATGCTATCTTTTGCATATCTGTTTCTTTTTTTCTCTCTCTCCTTAATCTCTTTCTTTTCTTCATGTATTCAACAAACTTTAGTAAGCATCTAGCATGTGCTGGCCACTGTGATTCTCAAGACAAGTGTCAACCTCACGCAGGGGCTCATGTGCACCGGGGCGGGGTGGGGGTGGGGGGCTTTCTAAAGAAGTCACACTGACGCTGAATTTTAAAGGAGAAATAGAACTCGGAGAATGAAGGTAGGGAGGAAATCCAGAAGAGGAGTGGAGAAGGGGAACTAATTGTATTTCAAGTCAAAAGTGATGGCAAAACACAGGATTTCATTACAGCAAAATACGAAAATTAGCTTGAAAGTACTTTTATGTCTTCTCAAGGAAAGCATCTTTGTATGATAAAAATCTGTAGCAATCAAATGTATTTTATCAAACTGGATCTTTGAATACTTACATTTAATTCATTTTTTAGCATTTCTTCAAGACGATGACCTACATGTTCTTCATCTTCTTTTGTGTCCATAACTACACAAATTTGTTGTGAAATTCTTTCTGAGATAAAAAAGAAAAATAATATTGTTTCAAACAGAATATGGAACAAAGCCCTAGTATGCTGAAACCTATACTAACCCGCTGTTCATAACTATTGAACAAGAATAGGGAGGTGTGGGCTTTAGGCCAAGTGGAGTGACTTGGACTGCACAGAGATGTCCTGGACTCAACTGACCATCCAAGTCAGTAAATCTATGTCTTTAACATTTTGTGGGTGGGTAAACAGGACATCATGTAAGCAACAGAAATAAGGATCTTTGGATATATTTGAAGAGAGTAACTGCAGGTGACAGCTACTTGGCTCAAGAATTCACTCCTTCCACATTTACAAGGAATCTCCCAGAATCTGATTGAATCCCATCTCCCAGGCAGATCCTCTGGTTAGGCCATAAGATGTCTCCTGAGTACAGCTCACTGTGCCACCTGGTGCCCTGGCTACGCACAGCATTTTCCTTGCCATTCCAGTCAATTCAATTAAATTCCTGCCTGTTTAACTATTACCACAAGTGAAAATAGTCAAAAATAGGTTTTCTTCGAATTTGGAAGGCTTGAGATGATATAATTTAAAATCATAAGCTGTATGACATAGTGATATTCACCTTTGTAAACCCTGGATGCACTCTCCCCAAATACGTGCAGTCCTCCTTTACAGTAAACAGATCTAAAATACTAAGAAATGGCTATACTGCTGCCAGTTAAGAACACATTTCATGGTATTATGTCATGGATTTTTTTTTTAAAGTCTAGTTTTAAATAGGAGTCCCAAACCAAACGTGAGTTTAACTTAGGACCTAGCTGCTTCTTACACTGGCAACTCCACATAACAGGCTCTCTAGAAACACTATTCTAGCAATAGTTAATGATTCTTCAAAAAAAAGCTGGGGAGAACCAAACTTTATTTTCTTTTTCAATAAGTCACAGCTGTTTTATTAATTCTAAGAGATTTTTGTTTTGTTTTGGTTTGGTTTGTTTGGCCTCGCCGCACGGCATGTGGGATCTTAGTTTCCCAACCATGGATCAAACCCATGTCCCTGCATTGGAAGTGTGGAGGCGTGGAGTCTTAACCACTGGACCACCAGGGAAGTCCAAAACATTTAAAATAATAATGTCACCAGTTAATGGTATTCCTGTTATTACCTACCTCCCACTTAACAATAATACTATATGTTCCAAGAGCCACACCCGATATTCACACTATGTCTCATGATGACCCTGCAAACAATATTATTGTGAATCTATGTCACAGATTCAGGTTCCTACCAACTTGAAAATGTCCATAATTTTAAGTTACACAAGCCTAATAAAATTAAATATAATTAAGAACACAAATGGAGGGTACAGATATTAAGTGCTATGGAACATCACTGTGATTAGAAAGGGAAATTGGTTGACAAGATTCAATGAATCTTTATGCTAAAATGAGCAAGGAGCTCACTCTTGAAAGGTAAACTTTGCTTAGTAGAGCCAAGAGGCTTTGAAAGTGATTAAGAGAAACAAGATTTTTTAAAAATTTAATGTATTGGGGTAGAAAGGGTACAAGCATAAACTTATTGTGACAAGAGACAAGATAAGTACTCAAAAAATCATTGGATGATTTAGCAGGGAGCTATGAAGTGGTATACTCAGTGAAGCCAGAACATGAAGGTCCCATGCTTTCCTGAATACCTAGAGTGTCCTGAAAGCTTTAGATGTAACTATAGTACGAGCAGTAGCTTTTGAAAACCAAGTTAATTCAAATGTATGTATTGTATTCTCTTAAATATTTGGAGAAATTTGGACTTTGTAATGTCCTAGCAAAAATCCAGTTACATTTCCAAATGCTTCTTTCGCATACATCAAAAACATTATAATAAAAAAATTTACTGTGTAAGTACAAAGTAATTTACTACATATATAATATAATAGTACCACAACAATTCTAATTCATAAAATAATGCATTAACAATACTTTTTAAAACAAAACACAACATATGCAGATTTCCCTTCCTTGTTTCATCATATATCCTTTATAGAATTCCAAGCTCTATCAAATGTAAATCAACAACAAATTAAAACGGACATTATCCCCCTCCAAAACTGAGATACAGTTAGCCCTTGAACATGGGTTTGAATTGCAAAGTGTCCACTTATACACAGATTTTTTTCAATAGGAAATAGTACAGTGCTATATGATCCTCAGTTGGTTAAAGCCACAGATAGGGAGGGCTGACCATAAATTATATGTGGATTTTCAATTTTGTGAGGGTCAGTGCCTCTAACACCCATGTTGTCCAAAGATCAACTGTATAAATAAAATGAAGTAACTCAAAATCAATTTGGCATTAATTCTTTGCCACATGTCAGCTGTTCTAAATAGCTTTTTGTTCGGGAATCTTTGCATTACCATATAAATTTTACAATAAATTTGCACAAAATCACCTGCTATTTATTTACTTTTAAGTATTTTGGTCATGTGTGCAGCTTGAGGGATCTTAGTTCCCCTATTAAGGGATGGAACTGGGGCCCCCTGCAGTGGAAGCGCGGAGTCCTAACCACTGGACAGCCGGGCAAGTCCCTCACCTGCTTTTTAGACAAAAATGACATCTTTAAAATCAGAAGCCTTTCAATTATAAACATAATATATTCCTCTATTTATTGAGCTCTTCCTTAATTTTTCTCAGTGTTTTACAGTCTCCAGTGTAGAGTCTTTTTGCAACTTTTGTTAAATTTCTAAAAAACATTATTGATGCTATTGTAAATAATATCTTTAGTTGCATTTTCTACTTGTTGACGTATAAAAATATATTAAGATTTCTATACAGTCTTTGCATTTAGTAACTGCTAAATTCACTTATAAATTCTAAGGGTTTACAAGTTATTTCAAATTTTTTATATATACAAACATGTCAATTGTGAACAAAATTTTATTTCCTTTTTTCCAAATCATAATTTTTTAATCTGATAATGCAACCTTTAGAATTTTGCTTCTATGTTTATGATAAAAATTAGCCTGTAATTTTACTCTTATAAGGTCCTTGTGAGAGGTTTATTAAACATTTACACTGCCTTCATGTAATGGGTTGGAAAGTTCTCTCTTTTTCTATTTTCTGAAGAAATGTGTATGACTGGTGTTATTTCTTCTTTTCAATGTTTTTGTAAAATTCACTGGTAAAAGCCTGGTAGCGTTTTTAATTAGATTCAATATCTTAAATGGATGAACAAATTTTCCTAGTTGTATTTGCCTATGAATGTGTTTATTTAACCTAAATTTAAGTCTGTTAGCATAAAGCTATGGACTGAATGTTTCTGTTCCCCCAAAATTCGTGTTGAAGGTTTTAACCCCCCAATGTGATGGTATTAGGAAGTAGGGTCCTTGGGAGGTAATTAGGTTTAGATGAGATCATGAAGTGAAGATCATCTCATAGGGTGAAGTCCACATGATGGGATTAGTGCCTTTATAAAAAGAGGAAAAAACACCAGAACCTTCCTCTCACATCCATGTGAGGATTCAGCAAGCAGGTAGCTGTCTGCAAGCCCAGAGGTGAGCCCTTATCTGGAAAATGAATCAGCTAGCACCTTTATCTTGGAATTCCCAACTTCCAGAACTGTCAGAAATAAATTCCTGTTGTTTAAGCCATCCAGTCTATGGTATTTCATTATGGCAGCCCAAGCTGACGAACAAAGTTGCTCAGATCTCATTGCAATGTCTATAGGATCATCACTGATGCTCTTTTTTCATTTCTGATAATAATTATTTGAGCCTTCAATATTTTTCATGATCACTTTTGACAAGGTTTTATCAATTTTATTAACATTTTCAAATAAAAGTTGTGTTGATTCTCTCTTATGCTTGTCTTCTAACTTATGAATGTTTAGTATTTTCTTCAATATCTTCTTCATTCTACTATCTATAGATTTAGTTCACAGTTCTAATTTCTTACAAAAGAAAAAAAATAGTGGGCTTTTGTGCTTTTCCTTTATTTTAATACAGTCAACCCTTGAACAATACAGGTTCGAACTGCGAGAGTCCACTTACACCTGTTTTTCTCAATACGTACATAGTACAGTACTACATGAGTGTGATTGGTTAAATCTACAGATCCAAAACTGTGGACACAGAAAGCCAACTGTAAAGCTATCCACAAATTTTATACTGTGAGGAAGGTCAGGTTCCAAACCCCATGTTGTTCAAGGATCAACATTTAAGGCTCTAAATTTTCCTCTAATAACAGTTTTATTTATACATCAAACATTGTGATATTTTTCAGTTTAAATTATTTCATTTTCAATTTAAAAGATTTCATTCATTTTTTTCTAACCTGGTACACTTCTAGTTTCCACTGTGATTTCTCATTTGACTCATGGATTATTAATTTTATTGTCCTTATTAGTCTGCTATTGTGCAAGAAGTTGCCATAAATTTAACAGATTAAAGCACCCACTAAGTATCTCACAGTTCTGTGAGATAGAGAAGGAGAAAGCTAGAGAGAGAGAGAAAGAGCAAAAGACAGCATGAACATACACAAGAAGAAATGATAATGAGCTCACATATAAACAAATGATAGAGCAAATGGGGCAAAATGTAAAAAATCCGTGAACTGGTGATCTGGGTAAAAGACAGATGGAAGTTATATGTACTATTCCTGCCATCTTTGAAGTTTGAAAGTATATTAAAATAAAAAAATATTCTAACCCCCCAAGAAACAAATAAGATACAATTAAAAATAGATTTATATACATACACACATATAAATAGTAGAGGACTTTAAAATTCATCTCTCTAAATTTTTAATTACGTGAGGTGATGGATCTGTTACCTAACCTTATTTGTGATAATCATTTCACAATATGTACATGTAACAAACCATCATATTGTACAACTTAAAATGTTTTACATCAATTATATCTCAATAAAGTTGGATAAATTTATTAAAAAATTAATTCTGTTCATTAAAGATCAACTGAGCAAAATATAAATAAGGACCTAGATTCAAGACAGCGTAACATAATAATGAACAAAG